ACTTATTCATTATAATTGTAAAGGAGAAAAACAATGTTCAATTCTCCTTTTTGCATTCAATAACCCTTCTTAGAGTTAAACAATGTACAGTATATCAATATTATATATATTTCAATTTATGGCTGTGGTATTCTATACATCCATTTCAACCAAATATTATCATTATCTATTTGATAAACATGCTCAAAAAATATATCTATAAGGTATTCTGCTAAGGGTTTTGTAATCTAAAGACAAATGATTGAGTTTACCTGGAGGGCATGAGCAGTTGTACTCTGCACTCTGCTGACCTTTCCTGTAGCACGTTGCACCATTGAGACAAGGCGATGGGTTACAGGGATTGATGACATCAGTGCAATTTCGTCCAGTCCAAGGATCTGGRCACGTACAAGTATAGTTGTTCTTACTTTCATCAGTATCTTTACAAACTCCACTGTTTTGACATGGTTTATCATTGCAATAAGAACCAAGGAAGGTCTTGCACAAACGTCCAGTGTATCGWGGCCCACATACACAGGTAAAATTATTAACACCATCAACACAAGTACTGTATGAATAGCAAGATCCTTGGCCACACTCATTGATGTTTGTTTCACAGTAATATCCAGTAAAACCTGGTTGACATACTATGGAGGTAAAAAAAAAACATTTCAGAACAGATTCCAGGCAGTGATGTCACTCTATTTATTTAATGTATTGAGTTATTTTTTTGACTGAATCTGACTGAAAGCTCATATGCAGGTGAAAAAAACAACACTGCCAACAATCTGCAAATAAGGTTTGGATCAATATCTCCCCCTATAAGGATCACAAGGTAAAATCTCCTGCAGTAGAAAATGGCATAACCCTCATGTTTATGTAATTTTTACAACATGAGCAGCAGTGTTATATGCGATTTTACAATCTTGAGCCGAAGGTGAGAGATTGTAAAGCCCATACAACACGGACGCGAATGTTGTAGATTACTTGTGAAATGTTTAGATGTATACATTCATAATCTACTAAAAACTTGAWGATAAAATTGAATTTGGCTGAGAAAATTAGATTTGAAGTTTATGCAAATCAAGACAGTTTTGTATCAAATATTACAACACTCTTCATGGTTGTGATTTCTATTGTGTTTTCCTCATTAATTACTCATGAGTTTTACAAAGTATATTCACACAAAAGACTTGAGCCAGGTCTACGTCCGCTTTACATTAAGGGCTAACCCAGATACGACTGCTCCCATGTGGCTTTGATAGCTCAGTTGGTAGAGCATTGCACCGGTATCGCAAAGGTCGTGGGTTYGAATCCCGTTCAAAGTCAGATTTTTTTCTGGCTTCTTTTCCAGTAGTAGGCTRCATTCGCATTTCAATTTATTCTCTCCAACTACTGAAGGACATACATATTTATCACACAAAAGAGTTTGAGTTTCATTCACTTTCTTCCTTGCTTCTAGGGCTTTTTTGGTGTATTTTTCCSTTTTTTCCACCCTCAATAAAACGAACCATTTTTATCAGCTATGCTCCGCAATCAGTCGACGTTGCTATGTAGAGGAAGTGCCTAGCTGGCACCACACCTATTTTTAAGTGTATGTAAAATGTGTCTCACTCTATTATATAACACTTCGACTTGGGAGCGTGTCGAACTGCTTCAATTCATCACCCATGCTGTAACGAAGGACAATTAGCACCCACCACCTTTCTTTCACAACAGCATTTGAAAAGCAAATTAGCAGGACTGTCAGTATAGATATATTAGCTACTGTACCTAACTTAGTTGACTAGTTTGAGAATGCTTATATTCTCAACATTCTCAATATTTACGTACCATATGTACGCTAGATCAATCATTTACCTTTTTTAGGGCACTGCTGTGAGTCCAGTGGACAACCAGCTTGTACATTTATTTTGCTTAATCCATCTGCTAACTTGATATTGTTGCCACTTTCTATGCATCCMACAAAACCCTTGACAGAGCTTCCATTGCTACTAAAAATCCCACCAGCATACAAAGGTCCACTGTGTTGAAAGTTTAAAATGTTTTTATCAACTACAACTTGCTCATTTTTTGTTCCAGTCAACGTTAATGTTGCATTATTACTTGAGCTTCCAGGGTCAAACTTTACTATGTACCAATGACTCTTGTCTAATTCATTACCAGCACGAACTAAGCCTTCTTGWCCACCAACTTTCCATTTGAATATCAAATGACTTGCAACAAAATRTGGAGGACTAGTGGAAATRGTGTAGTTTACTGTTCCAGGGTTTACATGCATTAATATATAATCACTACCAGTCCCTGCTTGGTATAGTAGAACACCTCCATGACATGTCCTGAATTGAAAATCAAATCCTTTGCTAATTGGGATCACTGCTGAAGTGACTTGCATCAATGACGTCTCATTGAAGAAAAATTTATCTTGTGCATCAGACAGGTAGATACAACCTACAAAATAACAGAATAACCATATTAGAAATAATTAACTACATGAGTTTATAGTATATACTTATTGACCCTTCTACATATATCTGAATTTATATTAGAGATAGAAAACTCATTTTGGACAGGATTCTGATTTGTTAAGAGTTTACTAATAATTTCTCTACATCATCTGRCAACTTGTCTGAATCTAAAGATTTGTTTACATCAGCCAAGTTTTTCTCTGACAGATTATTATTTTCTCTAATATAAATTCAATTGGTGGAAATTTGCAGATGATAGCCACTTCACTATGTAGGTGCAATAGCTAATTACAATATCTGACAGACTATCTACATATTGTATGATGATAATGTTAACCAAAGCTGCATAATGTTCTAGATCAGAACTCTAAAATATAGCTGATARCTTAGAAATTCTTAATTRAAATTAAAAAATATATWTTTTAAAGAAACATTAARTTTATATTAAAACGTCTTGGYGAACTTAKAGATGAATAATAGAACAATTGCATCATTATATGTCACGGCAATAAAAAAAGTCATTTTAATTACACAAAAATAACAACACATATTTTCTTTGAAAAAAACATCGGAAAATCTAGATAGACTCGTGATTTTGATAGCCATCCTCGCTGAAATCGTTACTTTTATCTTTCAAGAAGTGCACTGCCGCATTACATCGTAATCATAGTTTAAATATATTCCTTTTCTTCTTCTCTGAGTCAATRTAGTTGTATGATGAAATTACTCGAGATAACTAGAAAGACATAGAATGAATCAGGAAAACTCTTATAGCAAATTTGCCGCGTTTCATTGTCAAAATTGAAGAAGTAAGTATACACAGAGCTCAGCTTCTACCAGTTGTGCATATTATGCAAAAGTCTCAAGCAAAAGTCGTAATTTATTTTGAATTAAAAATCGATTTTGAATCAAAAATACTATTTAAATAAGGTGTTTCAGCCTTGATAGTCAGAGTTATGACATTTAGTAATAAATCGACTTCTCGTTCTAAATAAACAATCGAATAGTCGGTTAACCAACAAGCCTTCGCGATGAACGCGGCGTCCCGAACAACATGTCGCAGAGACTTGAAATGGCCGACAAAACGAAAAGAATAACCCCTGAGAAAACTTAAAACAACTAAAGATGCAACGAAAAGCAAGCCGTAAGCCGATAGTCGTGAGATCAATGATAAGTGAAGAGTCAAATTTGGAAAATTCAAAGATATTGTGTCACGTAAACTAGGAACWACTCACTCCATACGATGAACAAACACACTGTTCTTTGAAGCATTTTTCACTTTACATTGACTTGCTTCGGTGTTATAAACTGAAACCATTCATATCGTTGCACTCTGTATATTGCAGAGAGGAAACTCTCTGAAAACTACCCACATACTTCAAATGAGTAGTTGATTTTCAAGGAAACTATTTCTGATGCTTTGGTGTATCGACAAAATCTAATCCCTAAGGAGAATTGATTGGTTGATCRTGTAATGGAGTTTCGAATRTAAAAACAGAYGCAAAGATGCAAGTAATCGAACTAAAACACAACATTGTTTCTATATCATTTTTCTCAACTTAATGCATTGTAGACTATTTACATGTAACAAATTTTCAACACAAGATCTATTACAAACTATGCTTATTATTATACTGATCTAGTTATGRTTTCTCATCACATGCCTGGAATGCAAACATTCCTTAGGGGGCGGTACTCAGTAAGATTGGAAACGCAAGCTAAACACACAGAAAACATATAAGAATGGCAGTTTTAGAGGAGTTTTCCTTTCAAGGAGACARCACTATTTATTTTGAGCACAATCATTTCAAATTTCTATTGATTTTTTTACGCGAGTGACGTCATGATTTTAAAGTGCTCAGCTGCGCGCCAGTTCTTCGATCCCTCAGGCGTTTTTGGTCGGCTGCTCGTGCAGAAAAAATATTGGTGGGTAGAAAATGCTGAAAATTAGCTTTAATTTTTTTTTTTTTGACAGGTCTTCTCAGAGACAAAAACTAAAAATTTTGGTTAGACTTTTATGTTTGTTTGTTGTTGTTTTGTTTAGTGTTTGTTTTTTCAATTAGAGGATTATTTTTTCGTTATTTTTTATTGTCACTTGATAGTTGAGACTGTTGATAGACTGCCTGCTGTGTGTTAAATTTTAATGTCAGAATGTTTTTGAAGATAACGTAATGTCATGTGACTTGTTTTATTGGGATTCCTGTGTCATGCGTAGAAACACTCGGTTCAAAAGTGTTGCACGGTTTTCAGCGAAGTTCTGTTGGAGAGGGTGCTATAGCATGGCGTCTGGTGTTTTATCCTTATCGAAAGCAGGTTTCTACCCTGTGTACGTACTAATTCTTCTACTCGCAGCATATTTACTAAATCAACTGGACAGATATGCACTTGCAATAACTTCCCAACCGATGGCCAGAGAAATCAAGTTCGGCGACAAGGGCTGCTTACCTTACAACAATTCTTTRGATTCGAAGATTAAAACTTACTGTGTTAAAAGCTATCTTGATAAAGATAAAACAGAAAAGAATGAAACTGCGTAAGTACTGAGTTTAACGTCTGATTATTCTTTCGATAATTTTCTAAAACTAGCCAGATGGCAAGGAAAGATAATCCTCCAATGAATGAAATTCGTAATATAAATTGCACTTCACTTACAGGTAATCAAGCGAGAGTAAAASATAAGTTGTTAAAGTTGGCCTTGTTGCGAAAGATTGTTTTCTCGTGACTTACGTACTACAATTTATTACGTAACATACTTAACCTTCCCCTCCCCTCCCCTCAGGATTTGTGACATTGATGATTTTATTTTTATTTCATAAATATAAAAAGAATTGATGTTAAAAAATAGATACAGTCTATATTCAACTTATTGGCCAGCGATTTAGTAAGCTTTAACTATTGTAAACTTATTGTGCACCTTGCCATGACGTTATTATTGTGAAACTGTCCTTCAAACTCATTTTTAAATATTTGTATTATTWCAGATGTAAATTAAAAGGCAGTAAATACAACAACAGTCAAACATGTATTTGGGACTATGATGGTACAGGTGAACAATACCAGATTCTTGCTGGACCAGTATTCATTGTAGTGTATACACTAAGTGGTGTTGTCTTGGGACTGTTTACTGGAACATTCAACCGTAAAAATATCCTCATCTTCTGTCTTCTCTTRTGGAGTGCTATGACACTTTTGACTGGCTTTGCAAAGCAATACTGGCATTTGCTGCTGGCTCGGTTTGTTCTTGGGATAGGGTAAGTCAAATRTGTTACCTGTTTCTATTCCATTTTACCACTACCAGGCTACTTCGCACACCAGTGGTGCATAAGGCCTTTGTCAAGCTTTGCCACTTCTGTTAGTTTACCTGCTATRCTGCTCTTACTTCCTGAAATGTAACAAATCCCAATTCCTTCRTTTCTTTCTCAACTGTTCATCACCAAGTTGTTTTTGGTTTACCTTTGCATCTTCTTGCCTATTCCATTTTACATGTCAGATATTCAAGGGATAAATGGTAAGCCCACATCACAGAGTCATCAAATGATCTTAAATGCAAATTGCTAGCTTTAATTATCATCAGTATCAACTCCATAATGATTGTTTGCCACAGTCCAGAACGTCACACCAAAATATTCTAATCTAAAAAATTATGGTCCCTAGAGATCAGTGTGACTGCATATCAAATAATATATGTACACAAGTACCGTAATCTTTGATACATGACATATATTTAAGTAATAGAAGATTTTTWTCTGTGACTCTACTGGTTAAATAGGGCACATGTGATGTTGGGAGAAAAATGTTGAAAAGAGATCTCACTGTAAAAATCTTGAATTCTGGCAAATGTTTTTTAACTTTGCTTTCAGCTCATCATGGCTGATTGTCATTATTTAAATTGTGTGTCTATGCATTGAATGTACGGATATTACCTCAGTTGATGATTTTGTACATGTATCTTATAGTAAAGTACAATTAATTGTTTTGTTTTTTTTTTTATTATTATTTTAGTGAGGCAGGGTGCACTCCATTTGCAACAAGTTTAATTGCAGATTACTTTTCTGAGGTTTGTGTCAACCTAAATGTACTATGATCATGATATATTGTAAACACATGAAGACATTTATGAATTAAGTGTTTGAGTCTTTGATAACCAATACCTCATAGCCATATACACGTACTATAAAGAAAACTTAATACTTTACAACATTAGTCTTCAGTTCACAAAATATTTCATTTTATTTATAACATCRTTATTTTTTGATGGTCTTGATTGAGAAATTTTCTTATCATATTTACTAATGCATTTCAGAATCTCCGTGGTGCAGCTTTAGGTGTGTACAACTGGGGGATCTAYATTGGCTACAGTATGGCCTTTGCGTTTGGTAATTATATTACCAATGCTAACATCAATGSTCAAGGTTGGCGCTGGGTTTTCTTTATTGCAGCCATTCCTGGTTTTGTTGTTGGATTACTGATGATATTCACTATGAAAGAACCAGAAAAGAAAGAATCACAGGTTTGTTTTATTAACCAACTCATAGCAAATATATGGAGTTCAACTGTATGGCAAAGATATGAGTAATCTGAGCTATATACTAGGGGTTGCACATGCATACTTTGCATTTTACAGGAACACCATTTCCTGTCACAAAGTATGATTAGAGAAAAGTCTTAAAAGTAAAAATTGTCGGCAAAGGATGTTTTTGTATTATCATGAAAAAACCCCTGTGTTATTGCATTTTAAAGAGCAAAAAATTGCTCATTGCTCTAGTTGACATCTCAAACTTTGCTGCACATGACCCACTCTCATTATGTTGTTTACAAAACCATGTCACTCTACTGTCATTTAAACAATCATCATTTGAAATTAATGCACATCATTAGGAAAACATTGAGTACTGAAACACAGAAAAGCACATTGCACATGGCATTGGAGTAGATAATAAAAACTGTCCATGGAAGCCAAATTCARGGGAACATGTATACCTTTCAATTATACAATTTAAAATTAAAATAGATTTTTTTTTAAATACTATAAGTATGTAAATTCTAAATTGCAGTGTTGAACATTTTTTTAAATACATGTAGCTGTAGATTTACTTTACTAGATTCTTGCTAGTACCATAATTATGTACTATTTTAATTCCAGAGCTTTGAATTCAGCAAGCTTGTTGCATTGAAAGTCAAACTTCTCCTTATGCTGAAAACCTTCMTGCGSCCATCGCTAATCCTTCTCTTCATTGCTGGCTCCATTCGTAATGCTGGTGGTTATGTCTGGGCCTACAATACTCAACCTTACTTCAACAAATATTATCCCGATACAGATGTTGGCAAGTACATGAGTTGGATACCTCTAGTTGGTGGGTCATTAGGGGTGGTCTTTGGTGGATTTATATCAGATAGACTTGTTAAGAACAGGGGGTCCTATGCCAGGATATGGGTTCTTGTTTTCAGTCAGGTGAGATTTCATCATGAGTTTCAAACTTGTTATTGTGATTCCCAAAGGAAGATCCAAAGACTTTGAAGGGGGAAGGGGGGGAGGGGGTAGCCTGAATCACAACCAGGCAAACTACAGTTATTTTATACTTAAGCTTAGTTTGTATGGATGTGACGCAGACAAGGAGTGACAGCACTCATAAAAGTAAATATGGTAAAAGTAATGTTTGATTAACTTTCTTATGATTTGATATTTAATGGAAAAATTATGCAAATAAAACAGGAATTTTCCCAAATGGGGAAACTGTCCCCCTTGGCACCCCCCCTGGGGTCACACATGATGGTGATTTTTCTTTGTGGTCATTAATTATTTGTGAATGTTAGGAGATATAATGTCTGCAGTTTTCATTGGTTTGATGACAATATGCTCAGTATATGTTACTCTCTTCCTGTACAGGTTGTAGCTGCACCATTNACAAACTACAGTTATTTTATACTTCAGCATAGTTTGTATGGATGTGACGCAGACAAGGAGTGACGACACTCATATAGATTCTGTCTCAGTCTCTTTGTCTGAATTATGCAAATCATGTACATGTATTGTTAATAAGAAAAATATGATAAAAGTAAATATGGTAAAAGTAATGTTTGATTAACTTTGTTATGATTTGATATTTAATGGAAAAATTATGCAAATAAAACAGGAATTTTCCCGAACGGGGAAACTATCCCCCTTGGCACCCCCCTGGGGTCACACATGATGGTGATTTTTCTTTGTGCTCATTAATTATTCATGAATGCTAGGAGATATAATGTCTGCAGTTTTCATTGGTTTGATGACAATATGCTCAGTATATGTTACTCTCTTCCTGTACAGGTTGTAGCTGCACCATTTGCTGCAGGTGCATTATTCCTCAAGCCACCATGGGCCTTCATTAGTCTGATACCCTCTAATATCATTGGTGAAATGTGGGTTGGTGTTACTCTAGCGGTAGTAGTAGAGCTGGTCCCCAGTGCAATCCGTACTGCATCAGTAGCCTATTACTTGTTTATCATATCAATGATAGGTGGTAATGTTCCATTACTKGTTCCTGTCATCAAGACATCGCTGGGTTTACGCAATTCATTATATATATTATTTCCTGGATTATATCTGCTTAGTTCTGTGTTGTTTCTTGTTACTCTGTTGGTACTCAAGAGAGATCTACAACATGCAATTAGTGTTTCTGATGTGACATCACCTCTACTACCAGGCTCCCCAAAGGAAGAATCAGACAAACTGATTTAGAGACTGAWAGCAACACATACAAATGATAAGAGGCTCTTTCACGGACCTCTGGACTCTGATCGTCTATCACTAAGCTATTAAATAGTGTATGACAAGGAATGGATTGAGCAAGATGCAGTCCATAGCCTCTTCTTTCCATATAGTCTTGAGTACATGTAARGGTGTGTACAGGGTGTTACATAACTCCATATACCGACAGTCCAACAGAGTGATCCGTATGAATACAAAACAATACTCATGCAAAATTTTTTGTAGTCAATCACCTTCTTCACACAGTTTTGAAAACTGGAGTCAGTTAGCCAGCAATGAAGCCCTTGTGCACACCCCTGCTCGTAGYTCGAAAGAGGATCGAGTGCTATCTATCGCTCAAAATGTTTCTGTTTATATGAGTTTAGTTTTTTTTCTATTAAAGTACGATAAATCTAAAAGTAATAAAAATTAGTTATTTTAATTTATAAGATATATAACGCGCGCTCTGATTGGCTGGCGACCGTGTTTATATCAGAGGACAGAGACACAAGCGGCCGTTTTATATTTCTTAAATAACACCACAGTACAGCAATCAAGATAATCTTTGTCATGTAAACATTAAATGACATGCATTGAATTGTGTAAAATACTCTGCTAAATCGATCAATGGAAGTTCTCATGAAGAGGCGGACACGCGAATGTTGCTTCATGTCAACTGGGATGCTGCTGACAAAGGTCAAACCAGTATCACATTTCGTACTGTTGACACAGATGTCGTCGTCCTTTCAATCCTTGCTGCTTCTCTGTTAAGTGTTAATATACATGTAGCATTTGGAACAGGGAAAAATTACCGTTCAATACCAGCTCACCAAATTGCAGAAAACTGAGAAAAGCTAGGATGGCAGCGTGCAATGGCATTGCCTATGTTCYATTCTTTCACTGGATGTGATACAGTCTCTTTTTTCTCTGGTAAAGGTAAAAAGACTGCATGGCAAACATGGAGTTCTTTTCCAGACGTTACCTCAGCTTTTTGCACCTTATCGTCACTGACATCTGTTGAAGAGGAAGAGAGATTGCAACACTGGAGAGGTTTGTCATCCTTCTTTATGACCGAACCAGCAGTTTCACATCCGTTGACCTTGCCAGGAAACATCTTTTCTGCCAAAAAGGTAGAGCCATTGATTGATTGCCACCTACAAAGGGAGCACTAATTCATCACATGAGACGAGCTGCTTATCAGGCTTGTTGTTGGTCACAAATGCATGAATCAGTTCCTTCTCTTCCATCGCCACACAACTATGGGTGGTACAAAGCAGAATCAGGTTGGAATGTTAAATGGACAGAGCTACCTGAAGCAACTCAAGGTTATCGGGAACTCGTTCGATGTGGGCTGTAAAAAAGGATGTCTGGCACGATGTAAGTGTAGAAAGGCAGAACTCCCATTCACTGCACTGTGCCTTTGTAACGGAGAGTGCAGAGATGATGAATGATTTTTAGCTGGTAGAAGCTTTTTGCGTTTGTAATAGCATTATTTATTTAAGTACAATCTAGGTAGTACTTTTAGAGGCACCTGACCCCGGGAAAGATCCGACTTCGGGCCGACTTCTTAGGACGTCAACCATAGGTTGGCGGGACAGGTGTAACCCCATACTCCGGTTTGGGAATCAATCATATTACCGATTATTAGCAACTAAGTATCTTGATGTAACATATTATGTAATAGCTCAAAGATCATCCGGTTTAATTAATAATGTTGAAATAATCAATATACACTCTTTTTCGTAATATGTGCATTTGTTATATTAGTGCATCACTCTAGATTGATCAAATATATGTATTTTTGATACCTCCTTGTCACGAGCTTTTAAGTGCTATACAGCGTGTTTCATGTAACACTTTTACACAGGAATATATATTGCATAGTATTGTGCAATATTGTATGTCACGTGACAGGCTTAAACAACCCTATCCATCAAGTCATTATAAGCTTTAATTTGATATAAAATGATCTTTTCACTTCAACAGATGCAAATCCACCATTTTTTGGGCTGGGGTTATTGTCTRATATTAAAGTTTTGCATATTTTCCCATAAAATGCCAAAAAAATATATTTTTCCCCAAATATTGGTTTTATCGATGTATTAAGGAGTTGTCGGATACATAAAATAAAAGAAATGTGCATATCGAACCATTTAGGATGGATATCATTGAGTATTTTAAAAATTACACAGGAAGCCCAACGGCAGATTTATTTGACTGCTGGTAATTTCCATATATGGAATTTTCTAAAATGTCCCTACCCCTAAARTTACTCCTTTTGGTAAACTCTAGCTTTGAGCAAAGTTTCATTCTTCTAGTGCACGATCTAAGCACATAGCAGAGGGTCTCAATGGGGGGGGGGGGGGGTCCGCATCACGACTCACGGCTAAAAATTTGACTTTTTCACGCCTCACGGCTAATTTTTTGAGGGGTGAGAAACGGATGTACACAGGCTACTAATTTTTCAGCCGTGATTTTTCTCATTTTTACGATTCACGGCTAATTTTTTAGCCGTTTCACGGCTCACGGTTAACCCCATTGAGACCCTCATAGCAGCTGGACTATAATAAGGTTAGTCCAGTCCCAGCCCCTTTTCGACCCGCTCGGTTAACGGGCCTCTCGCTGGGACTGGACTATAATAAGGTGTGATCGTCATTTTGTAGATTTTGCCTTAATTTTCCAAGCTTTATGAGGTTATTTGATAGAAATGTTCAACTGCCAAATATTTCATGTTTCGCTTCAAATTGGGAAGAGCATCAAGCAGAGCGACATCCGATAACATCGTTTATTAGATAGAARCTCCTCTTGACTCTGCCTCCCAAGGATTATCTTTTCGTTTGGGTTAATTTGCTTTGGATTTTGTACACTTAGGATTTCTCGTTTGATCTTATTTGTCAAAAATCTCGTTATCGCTATTTAATCAGATTGACTTATTCGGACCAAAATCAGGTGGCTACTCCTTGTAAAATGTAATATGAACAAATRAAGGATTAAAATATATCGATGTTTAAAAAATCAGATAAAATATATATGAATTGATATCAGTTAACAGTATTGAAAAGTTCCATCATGTGACACTCTAGAAACACCGATTAACTAGCAGGTTTTTTAATTCTTAATGTGTTCCGAAAAAAAAACATAATTTTGCGTACGAGATACTCTTTAGTTTTCGGTATGAGTTATGATTAAAATGCTTGCTGTTACTGCATCACAAGCAATAGTTTGTTCTCTGCTTCTACCATCACGTTTAAAAAGTGACAACGTTTTAGTACTTGTCATGCTACTGATACCATTTTCATTCGCGTGTTTGATAAACATCATATCCGTATTTTTAACGATACACCAATGTTTTATTAACAAACATAGTTTAACATCGTTATTTACTGCTATAATAGTCAAGCATCTTTCAGGCCGCTTTCCTCACTAAATGACGAATGTTATTCTTGTAATCTTCTGAAACTAAAACCACAAACAAACTTTCGCTAAAAGGGAACGTTAATTATTTACAACTCATGAACTGGCAGTGCGCCTTTGGGGAGACACTGCAAAGTTTTTGGCATAACATCACAGCTTTACTACAGAACTAGACCATGGACTGTGTGAAGGTAAGCGCTGTTAAATTATGTGATATTATAGGCTGGGAGACACCTGTTTATAAACCCTTTGATATCTATGTAGAAAAATGCGGTAAAAATTAACAAAAATACTTATTTATTCCTTTAATGTTGACGGCTCATGAGTGCGGCAATGTTATGTTGATAAGTRTCACAAATGACTGGGAGAAGGGACYTCATTCCTTTCCCAGCTATTAACGCGATGATAGCTTGTTTGTTCATCATCATGGATATTCTTTTAGCACAATTACGATGACAAAAAAAAGATGCCGTCATAGAACTGGAATTTGTGCCTATATTATTCACATAAAAACTTGGAYTGAAATCGTTCAAGGAACATAGATGAGATCTCTAAACGTTGCGTCTATCGAAGTCAATGCAAAATATTCCAATTTCTCTCTGCCTATTTTCATCTCATTTGCATGTTTCATTTACAAATTSTTTCTATTGAGGAGTTCGCAAGTCCTCTGTCAAATAASCCAGTGGTATCARCCCATTTGTCATGAAAGCAGACTTCCATAAACCCAAGAYAGTAATATGTTAACTTTTCCATTTTTCTCACGAAACATTGCTTACCCCGTGGGCTCAAAATGCAGGGCCCGAAAGTGTGTATGGGAAGGAGCTATAGCCTCCATTCATGCATCAGTTAATACCCATTCAATCTCAACTCTACATGTCAATGACATGTCCTATCTGACTTTGAATGCAACAACGCTTTTGTATATAAACTGTAGACTAAAATGGGTAAGAAAAATGAACGCCTTGTACACTGACAGTGGGCATTACTGTGTTATCAGTGTGAACGGCCATTAGTGATTTATGAGGCATATCAGTTTTTGGTCTTTTCGTTAAAGTTTAATAAAAATTGCCCATAGCAAACAAACACCATTGCTTTGAATTCTTATCTTTGAAGTTGATGTCATTATCAGCTACAAAGGAAAGATGGATTTCACTTGCTGGTCGAAAATTTTCTTATCAAAATAGCTTTTCTTGTTTTTATTTCGCTCAGACAAACAAAAATCCGCAGTCTATATCATATTGATTTYGTCTGATAAGTGGCCTTTGGCTTCTGCTAAATAAAGCAAGACTATAGCACGTCTGAACGTCAAGATGGCCGTCGGTTGATTTGCGATCTGTTTCGCCGGTTTCTCTATTATCACTCATTTGTTTGATTTCAATATCCCTCCAATTTATTTTTCGCTACTATGGTCTTTACTTGTGCTGATTTTTTTTCCCATTTCCTAAAAGCTTTGCCACTATAAATCACAGATAACACTTACAAAACGCAGTTTTACGAAAAATGTGTGGTTTTGGTTGAACAACCAAAACTACAACAGATATTCTATGGTAACATATATAAATAGACGGATATTGACGAAGGTACAATAATTAACAAGGAAAATATAGGAATTCAGATAAATCGGGCTTCCGGCTTCCACTCTTAAAACTTGAAAGGGATGGTTYTAGACTTAAATACAAGACTATACTCCATTTTGTAGAGTAAAACATGTTGGGAAACAAATGCAAGATATCTTGCGCTGATATTTGGGAAACCAACTCTTTTAGCCCTTTTTATATTCACCGAAATAATCCCAAAAAAAMTACTCKATTTGTATTTTMTGTTTGGGAAACAAACATTCAAAATTCATTATGTATATCTTTTAGTCAAAGCAAGAAACAAGCCGCRATTCTTTYCAAATGACTCGCGGGAAATGTAACACTTGTGTTCAAACTCAACAGATACACTGTGTTTGTCTTCTGGTTTTGAATTTCATTCGAGTCCGAATAGAAGCATCTACTTTGAGGTAAACGTTTATTATTTTATTTTTGAATGAACTAAATTGTCGTCCTGTTTACCGGCTAGTTCAAACGGTTTTGATTGATGTTGTTGYAGATCTGACTCTCCTCTCACATCAGAGACTCTAGAAAGACTRTTCAAGAAGCAACGATACGACCCAAGAATACGACCAAATGTGAACGGTAACACAGCATCCCCCCCCCTTACCACCACAAACAAGCGACCCATAATACCACAAACAGTTATAACGAAAATGCGGATGCTATAAGGGGGGTGTCCCAGTAAAGGAGTCTATATATAATGTTGTTATAATAAGAATTGTTCGTATAACACGACATCTTAGAGTCAATTTCGTATGAGTGGGAAACGGACGGTACTGTAATGTACTGTAACCGTAATCGTACTGTAACCAAATTCTAGTGTCTCATTGCTTCACAAAAATTATGCAGGCCAGGTCCGGTACCGGTAACCGTGCGGTAATTTCTACATAATGTAGAAGTAACTTGAAAAAGAGAGAAGTAACTGGAAATAAGGTAGAATACAAGGTACGAGTACTTCCTTTGGTTTCAAGTTACTTCACGTGGTACAAATTACAATCAGGGATTGGCTGAATACCTCATGGATAATGATGAATAATGAGAACGTAAGTTTCTCACTCATACGAAATTGACTCTATCATTTCCGACACTGTAAGCCCGTGGTATATCATTGAACGGAACGAGTCAATGCATAATAATAAATGCAATAATGGTTCCAAATTTGTGGTGATATAGTGCACGTTTTGTTATTCAATCTTTATTCCAGGTCCTCCCACTCGCATTTCTACAGGGTTTTGGGTTTTGTCGATCGATTCAGTCAGTGTTACTGATATGGTAAGTACCCCCGGGAGGGGAGGGGTCAGGGAGATTCTCCTCTTTCAGCCTCCTTCCCGTTCGGAATGTGCTATAATAGGCAGAAAGCTGTTCCTCTGTAACAACAAACCAAAACAAAAAATGAGATTAATAACATGTGAAATAGAGGATATTACATAGCCGCGCGGAGATACGGATTTTATCTTCGAGTGTTGAAAAGATCTCTCACGAGTGAGCGTATCTCCAAGCGACCATGTAATATTCTGTTTATCATATAATTAGATATGAAAGCAAATTATGTTGTAAAATACCTTTTTTCTTACTTCCGCTATATGGAGAAACCTCGAATGTGTGTTATTTTCACTAGTGAAAATATCAATTTTACGTAATGGAGAAATATAGGTATTTCATAGATGATTATATGATAAGTAATTATAATTTCACAAATATTTCGAAATCAGTGTATTACGATATTCGGCAATCAATGAGGGGTGGATCCAGGGGGAGGAGGGTACGTCTATAGAGTCTGCGCCTGCTGACGTCCTGAGAGATGAAACGCTTTCCCATCATGTAGGTTTTAATGCTTACGTTATTTCATGTTTGAGTATTTTTTGGGAGGGGGTCATGTATAGCTGTTAGTAGAATAACAGTGCAGACATATGCCCAGACTACTGCGGCATCATACTGAAATAAACTGAGTGCGCGGTCAAAGTTTTTTAAATACTTTATGAAGCTTTCAGGTTCTGCTAATCATTATATCAAAAATCTTTGATCATTATAGTCAACGTTGTTATTTATACTGCAAAAAGKAAAATCATGCATTTAACAGCTGAAATTGCAATCGCCTGGAGGCTCGCGCAATCCYATATACTCATGTTAATCGWTGCTCCAAACTGGWAGCCATAACAAACGTACTGACTTACCTATATTAATGAAAGATAATATTAAGTGATAATCACAACGCTCATGTTTTTTATACATTTATGACTCGTAACCACTGTAGGCTTTTGGTGTAGACATATTCCTCAGGCAAGAATGGGTAGACGAACGATTAGATATAGGTTTGAACCAAACRTTATCGCTTGGCAGTTCCGTCATGTCTGATATGTGGCTTCCTGATACATACTTCAAGAATGCTAAACGATCAACCTTTCATGACGTTACTGCAAAGAACCTCATGCTTCGCATTGGAAACAATGGCAGCGTTCATTACAACACCAGGTCAGKTCAAGTTGTTTTCTATTAAACATTCTATGTTTTTACTGAATAAAATGAAACAAAAACCATAATCGCAATCATGTGTTAACCAAATAATAACAATTAATTAATTATAGTTTTTTTAATATTAATAAGGGTGACATTAAAGATCTTGTGTATTATGGACCTAAGGCTGTATCCATTTGATGTACAACATTGTCCACTTCATCTAGAAAGCTGTGAGTAGCATACAGGACTAAAGCCCATCKATTTGACCTGCGGCATTTCATAACCACACTCTAAGCCTGACATACAACAATTCCCACTTCATCTGGGAAGTGCGGTTATTATAAGTATTTGTTGTTTGAAACAACATCTCAATGACTTCGCATGAAGTCAAGGTGACTATTTGATATATATGAGCCCCTCCCCTGTAGGGCATACAGCATTACACACTTCATCTGAAAAGCTTTAATCTATCCACGTTCAAGGTAGCGCCCATGCGACATACAGCATTGTCMTCCACTTGATTTGAAAATTAACWAGTTGTTAGAACAGCGTCGCATCTTTACCCGTCTCGTAATGTTGCTATGTATTAACGTTTGTCTGTATATTAGATGGTTATAGTGTTGATGATATTGTTG